ATTTACAGTTACTATTTACTCTTGTTTTCAATGATGCATGCCTGTGGGTTTTTTTTTTTCATTTAAATATTGTGCTATTGAGAATTTTACTGTAGTTTTGCTTTTTATATTAGTAAATAAAAACTGTATTAGCCCCCTTTTCCAGGCAGGAATCTATTAGATGTTGATCCTGTGTATGTAATTTATATCATACTCCTAAGTTCCACATCCTACCACCAATATACATTGTCCTAGAGCCATGTTTACCAAAATACATGCCAACCAGTCTTTACTGTATGCCTGTTACATCCTTGTATAGTGCTAGATACTGTGAAGTCTCTTCTCCTCAAAGTAATTTACTGTCTGGTTTGAGATATAATTAATGCCTGTCTGTATAAAAACAATTTAGACAATACAAAGAAGTGTGTTCTGAATTATAGAAAGTGTGTTACAGAAATTCAGAAAAGGGAGGAAAAGTTAGGGTAGATTTGAGACTTAAATTTGGTTATTTTTTAAAGGGTAAGGTTCAAGGAATTCAGTTATTTTTGATGTACAGATATCCTGCTGTTTTATTTGGTTTTAGCATATGATTTATAGTTGTTGGGTTTTGTGTATTTGTTTGCTTATTTGTTTTTCAGGAAAAAGCCTTGTTCTTAGCTTTGGAACAGTCTGATCTCTTGTGTTTCACCTTTCATGTAAGTCATAAATAAAGGTGATGTTCTAAAAAAACTAAAAGTATAACACCAAAATAAACTACTTAAAAGTTTTTAAGTGACTAGAACTCAGTCACCTATAATGACTGAGCAGACTTTCGGTTGTACTCACTGCACATGACCATTCTTATGGGAAGAAAATATTTTTGGAATGAATATTATCAATGATTAGTCTTATGAGTAGACTAAACACCACAACTTACATGGCTTCTGTTTTTCCTACCCAAACTTTTCCAAGCAGCAGCTTCTTATCAGGTACGTTTTTGTTAACACTCAAAATTATAGAATGTGAAAATAATCTACAGACCATATAATCTTGCAGACGGTTTCTGTAGATAACACAACTTTTGAGTATAATCTTGAGTAGTACCTAATTTTTGAGCTCAGTATTATTACTATATGCCCTAAATAAACATATTTTTCCCATTGATTTTGGAGATTTAACTCTTGTAAAGTAGCCCCATGCTTAAGTTCCACATTCAGTAAAAAGAATATAGTGTATTGGAGGAAGCACCAATTCTAGTCTTGTCCCTGCCTAATTAGATGGACAAATAATCTTATCTTGGACATTATCTTTATCCATAAAATGAAAGAGTTGGACTATATTGTGGTTTTTCCAACTGTTCTGTGAGAAGAAACTAGTTTTCATTTCTCTGAAGTTTTGAGACTCCTCTATATGTTTTTTCACTATTAGTGCAGTGCTTACTGTAAATTCCTAAGTAAAATAAAGAAAGAAAAGGCTACAGTACTGCTTTCACTATCTTACTGTTGCATTATCTTCACTGGGAGTTCTAGTGTTTTTTCCAGTACATAGAAGATACGAGAAGATGTCAAGTGGCTTCCAGATTAATCTAGTAATTCTGTAAGATTTACTGGGGGATCTCAATATACTGTCTAGAATCTGGAGCCTCAGTCTAAATCATCTCTAAGGTTCCTTCTGACTAGTTCTAACATGTGTCTAGAAGACATGAGATTGTTGAACAAATATTAATTAAAAGATCAGAAATAACCCATTTTGCCAGTAATGTTAATACACCATTTATTTTAGGCACTGGAGTCTTGAGTCCTTCCTAATCATTATTAACCAGCTAAGATATTAGCTCAAGGGGAATTCTTAAATTTGCATTGTTGACACTATCCCAGTGCATAATCTATCTATCTTTTTTTGTCCTTTGAAAAGATGCTGTATTTATTCTCTATAACAGCATTTATGCTATCTCATTTGGGAAATTTGAAAGACATGCACAGTTGTTTACTCTTAATATTAGATGAGTAGATTCAAAAGAAGATTTTTGGTTTTAACATCTTCTTCCATATCTTAGAAGTATAATTGCTTCATAATATATTCATCAGAAGTATGCTGTGAACAAAGCACCTAAAAAGGACAAACTCTGAAAATGTGTATATTAAGGAGGAGCTTCTAGCTTAATTAAACTAACCTTGTTAAATTGTCAGAAAGACAAATGAGGCATATTTTTCAGTTTGTCAGAAATTCTTCTAGGGGTGAAATTGTGAAATTACCTCATGGTAAAATCTCTGTGCCCGTGTACAACATATAGACGATCTCAGAGCTTTTTACACACTGTCCGATATCTTTTTAAGGTGGAGAGAGGGATGTGGGAAATGGATTAGCTATTATTACACAGGAAGTTTGGCAGAGCTAGAAATAGCCTGGTTTCCTTCTAGTGTAATTTTCTGAATGTTTATCCCTTTGTACCTACCACTTGGGCTGGCTTCAATCATACACAGGTACTTAGAGTACTTCTTATGACCTTACTTTCCAGTTGCAATTCCACGGCTATGTAAGTATGTCTTTTAGCCATTCATTCTCCACTCATTCCACCTAGTGGATTTGTAATGTAGTGTGTATCACTTCAGTACCATTAGGCTGTATATTTTATTAGAAGTTGTATACAAATTTGGTGTGATAGTTTGGTCAGTATATTATTTGTTCTACCCTTTGCCACCTTCCCAGGGGACAAGTCCACTAGCAAGCTTGGTGTATTTTTCCATTTCCTTATTGACAAATGTGTCAATTTGGTTGAGCAGCAATATTTAGCTCTACCACCACATAGGATTTATCTGAGCACATTTTGTTTATACTTACATTTGGTTCTGTGCCAAAGCCATGGAGTGGTACATGTTATGTCTACATTCATTCATGTATTGTGCTTCAAGAGCACAGTCATTTGCATATGACAGCTTTGGAGTAACTAATACTTACCACAATATTTTCAATCTGCTAGAAGTTCTCAGGAAGTACTAAAGTGTTTTCCAGTAGCCGCTCTTTGGTCTTTTGCTCTAAGTCGAGCATGGCAATACAAAGCAGTTTGAATAAGTCTGAACCTACTGGATAATCTTGGAATATTTACTCATTGATGACCACCCAATCATGGAGTGACTTTAAAACCATTCTTTTGTATAATGCTTTACAGTAACCCTATTCTTCTGAAGAATTTTCCCCATTTTACAGATGAGGAAACTGGCCTAGATCAGTTAAAGAAACTTACTGAAACTCTCATAATCTAATAACTTGCCAAAACAAAAGTTCAAGTCCAGATTGCCTCCAAAACCCTACAGTGCTATATTGTCAATAACTGAGAATTGAGATTCAAATCTAAGCAATGTGACCTGCCCCCCGACTCCCAAAATCTTTTTTCTTGGGCTCCTTGTGATATAAGAAGAGTTCTCTTTAATTAAAAAACTATTGACTAGGTAATATAGTCATGTGGTTCAAAATTCAAAGGGCACAAAAAGATACAGTGAAGAGTTTTTCCTGCCCTTGTCCCTTGGCCATCCAGTTCCCCTACCTGGAGACATTGACTGGCCATTTGTATGTTCTCTCAGAGATATTTTGTGCATATACAAGCAGACACACACATATATATCTGGAAGCATACTGTACACATTGTTCTCCACCTTGCTATTGCACTAAATTTATTTTGGAGATTGTTCAATAGCAGTCCATAGAGAACTCTGTCATCTTGTACCTGCTGCATAGTTTTTCACGGAATGATACCTTTTCATAGTATCATGTTCTTGGATACTTAAGTTGTTTCCAACATTGTTATAAATGATGTTATAATGAATAATGACACATATGTACTTGAGGATACTATTCATAGGCATTGAATTACTGCTTTAAATGGAATGTGCATTTATGATTTATATAGTATCCTCAAGTTGCCCTCCATAGAGGTTGTAACAATTTATATTCCTATCAGCAATGTATTGAGAGTAGTTGTTTTCCCACAATCTCAACAAGTGTGTTATCAAACTTTTGGATCTTTTCCAATCTAGTAGGTAAAAAACGTTATTTTGGTGTACTTTTAAAAAACAAACTTTAATTTTTAGAACAGTTTTAGATTTACAGAAAAATTGCATAGTACAGAGTTCCATATACCTATGCTCAGTTTCCCTTAGTGTTAACATCTTTCATAACGCTAGTACATTTGTCACAGCTAATGAGCCTTATTATTAATTAAAGTGCACAATTTATTCACATTTCCTTAGTTTTTACCTACTGTCCTTTTTCTGTTCCAGGATCCCATCCAGGATACCATATTACTCTAGTCATCATGTCTCTTTTGCTTCTTGGCTGTGACAGATTCTCAGACTTTCTTGACCTTGATAGCTTCAAGGAGTACTAGTAGTCAGTGTACTTTGAAATTTTCATCTCACTTATAAGTCAGATTGGACATCTTTCTTTTCATATACTTAAGGATATTTGCATTTCCGCTTCTGGGAACTAAGAGCCCGAGCTTTTAACCACTATGCTATACCTCTCTCTCTCGATTCACCATAATTATCTTAAAACATTCAAAGGCCTGCATGCATACAGACTTCTGATTCTGAATTGAGAGAACTCAGAAGTCTCTGTTATAGATAGAGGAGAACCATTAGTACAAGTGATATGGTCAGACTCGTGTCTGATAGCTTGGCTACACTGCAGAGGATGGACAAGAGGCTCGACTGGAAACAGCAGGTAGTCCGGATAAATCCTTGAAAGAGAAGCAGTGTTGATAGGGATAAATTCGAGGGAAACTACAGAAGAGCCAGGATTTAGTGATACTGGATAAGAGAGTCAAGAAGTCAAATGTGACTCCTAGGTTTATGAGTGGGATATTTTGGGTGTTCTCTCTAACCTAGATGAGAAATTAAAGAGACATTCGGACAATTTACAACATACCGGTCTCTCAATACCTACCTTCTCTTTCCGTTTCTATAGCTCTGTGCTACTACAATTCCCAGAGCCCCAAGCTCCACCACAATCCCCTTAGAGTCCGCCGCACAGACTTCTGGGACTTGAGGTCCGCGGCCTATTTCCCAAGTTAGCGCTAGGGGCCTGTGGAAACATGAAGAGGTAAGGGCTTGTCTGGGGAGCAGGCGGCAAGGGGAGCTCTTTTCTACCTTTTACTTTGAAAATGGCTTTTGTTACTTTCTGTTTGGGGTATGTCGTGTTCTCATGATGCGGTTTCGTGTGAGCGGGAAGACAAAGGGGAGGGGAGGAGGGGAGACGGGCTAGACGGGCCTGCAGCGTGAAGTTCAGGAAGGGCCGCTGCCGCCGCCGCCGCCAGGCCGGTCTCCATAGGCATGCCCTCCTGGCCCAGGCCTTGGGAGCTGGCTGGGTGCTGTGGCTTCTTCCTGTTTCAAACGGACCCGCCCAGGCAAAAGGGTCTTGGCGGACAGATTGCCAGCGCTGGAGATTCCCAGGCCAGCTCCTCCCCGTCCCGCCCTACCTCCACCTCAGCCTTCGAAAGGGGGTCAGGGGTGGGATTGTTTATTTGCAGTGTCTGTGTGTTAAAGAAGACTTGCTCGGGCCCCGAAACCATAGAGCGCTTTCAAGTCTTAAAGTAAGAAAGTGGTACTTTTGTTTGCACAAATTTAGAAGGAAAGTACAAAACTGGTTCGATGTATCAATAGGATATAGGAATATAAGAAAGGCATTACTGCAAGGGGTTCCCCCTACTGGTACTGCAGTAAATGGCCGCTTGAACCTACGTGGTTATTGTTGAGAGCCAGAGCCTCACGATTACTGACAGTACAAAAAGCCTTTTTAAAGGATCCTCGTTAAATTAGTTTTGTATTTACTCCGCAAGTAGAAACATCACTCTGGAGGAGTGCAGTGCATTTAAAATACTTACTAGTGTGCTCTTCTGCACTATCAGTTCCTTGTGTCTTTTTAAAAACCATTTCTGATTTTCCCTGCCTGAAAATAATCTTTAAACATTTTTATGATGATATATCTCATCCATGCAGAATAATTTATATAATGTGTATATACAGTTTAAAGAGTAATAATAAAGGTTTACATCCACTGCAAGCTTAAGAAGTAGGACATAGTCAGTTCCTTATAAGTCCCCTGGGTCTCCTCTGTGATTACTTCTCCTCCCTCCCTTCCTTCCCCCTAAGGTGACCACTATCTGGACTTTTGCATTAATCGTTCCCTTGTGCTTTTTTGTTGGTTTGTTTTTTTAAAAATAGGTTTTTAGCACATATAAATTTATCCCTAAACAAAACGTTCCTAGTTTTATCCATTTTTCAACTTCATACAAATGGACACATATTATATGAATTTTTCTGTGACTTGCTTTTTTTAACTCAGTATTTCTTTTTGTGATTCATTGTGTTGATGTATAGAAACTTTAAAATTAGCAAGAACTTTTGGAATTTGAAGTAATAAATAAAAATTGAGATATTGAAAAAGAATTTTTTAAAACCTTGGGTCTAAAGATATTTTAGAATTTACCAAAATAGGGCCAAGCCTTTCTAGAACATGAGAATCATGCTTACAATTATGGGGGTTTATTTTTCTAGGCCTTATAACCCCACTAGGAAAGGGCTATTTTATAAGGAAGGTATTTAATATCTATTTTTTTCATGGAGTTAACTCATTTTTTGGGTTTGTTTTTTATAATCTGTTGTTGCATGCTTAAATGGCCCTGTTATTTCATTATACTCTAGTTTTCAATTATTTAGGGTTAGTTAGCTCATGCTAGCCATTACTTAGATTTCTACACCGTAGTGCCTAAGCTATAAAATGTCATGACACTCTTCATATTTCTTTCTATACTCTGCTCTTTGAAGATATTTTCCTCTCTCATAGCTCCAGATCTTGTCACCACAGATGACTCAAGATTTCCACATTCAGCCTCAGACTCTCAGCTATACAACAATTCTCTCATCTCTCACTTTCCTTTGAGCCAATCACTCATGCTGTACCCTCAGACTCAATGTCTTTGAAGTATTCCTGATAGTTCATGCTGGTGTTTCAATTGTAAAAGGTAGTTGACTCAACATGGCTATAACAATACTGACTTTCCCTTTCCCAAACCATTTATTCCATCTGGAGCTTTTTCTTTCCTTCTTTGGTACTATCGTTCTTTCGGTTACACAGCTTGAAATTTGGGGGCTATCTTTGACTTCCTTACCCCACCTTCAAAAGGCGTCTGTCATCTAACCCTTCCTTTCCATTTCCACTATTACCACTCCAGTCTGGACCTTCATCTCCTTATACTTCAATAGTTTCCTAACTAGTTCTTCCGGTTTCTTCCCTTCAAATCCGTATGGTATATTATAACCACATTTATCTTCCTCAACCATCACTTGCACTGTGTCACTTAACTGCCTGATAAATTACTTTCTAATACCTATGCATTTATTGATAGGTCCAGGCCTCTTAGTTGGTGTATTTAAGGCCATTCACTGTCTGAGTCTAATTTACCCCTACAAGATCATCTCCCCGTACTCCTATAAATGAATGCCAGCCAAATGGAACTTCTCATTATCTCCCAGTAAATATTTTTATCTTTTCACACTCCCTCTCCCTGCTCTCCTTTTCTTCGTCACACCCAGTCCTTTTGAAATCTTCCTTTACCACCCTAGCTTCCAATTATCTCTTTCTTCTGTGAATTCCTACTAATTTGGCATATGCTTCTCTGTGTCATTATTCATTTGGTGTTCTCTCTCTCTCCCCCTCTCTCCCTTCTCCTCTCCCTCCGCCTCTCCCCCTAGGCACATATACATGTATATATTTCTTCTCCTTGAATAGGTTGCAGGCTTCTTGAGGATAGGGATATGCCTTGAATATCTTTGACTTCCATCAGTACCTAGCACAGTGCCTTCTGTATAAGTAGCTATTTAGTTGTGATTGTTTGTGGAATGAATGATAAAGGGCAATGAATATTCGGAGAATTATCTTTAAACAAATGGGGTCACTAATGGTAGATAAGAAATACTTTTTGAGACACTGTCTCTTCTACTTTCTGTATATATTCTTATATCTACTCCAGGGTAAACAGCTGTGTGAAGAGTGATGAGCATGTCCTGGAGGAGCTGGAAACAGAAGGGGAGAGGCAGCTGAAAAGCCTCCTTCAGCATCAACTTGATACCTCTGTCTCCATTGAAGAGTATGTATTGATTTTGCAGATAGAGAGTATCATAGACCCTCACCTCCAGGTGACATATCCCTCTTAAAGCCTGGATGGAATGATCCTCTCCCACCACCCCCTTCTTTGGCAAATTTCTACTTATTAGGTAGAGTTTTGTTTCTGTGTCACTTCCTCTAGGAAGCTTCCCACATCCCGCAAAGTCTGGGCCAAGTACCTTGCCTATGTCCTCCTACATCACCCTATATATCCCCTAACATAGCACCTAAAACCCATTATTATCATTGCCTGTTTCCTTGCCTCTCTTCCATTGTTTTTCCACAAAAGTAGAAGCCATTTTTATTTTTTTCTTAAACTAATAAATCCTTAGTACGTAGCACAGTGTCTGATGCATAGTAGACACTCAATAAATATTTGTTGAGTCAGTCATTTATTACTCCTGGATGAGGGGACTATTGATGTAGTTGTACTTTGTTGCAGTGGTACTTCAGTTTAGAAATAGGATGTGAGAGAGAAATTACTGATGAGTTTCTTTGTACCTCTAATAATGGTGAGCCCCCATTTCTGTGAATTGTAGCAACCTCAAGATGTTCTTACTCTCCTCCTGCATGTTTTGCAGATGTATGTCTAAGAAAGAGAGCTTTGCTCCTGGTACTATGTACAAGCCCTTTGGGAAGGAAGCAGCTGGGACTATGACTTTGTCCCAATTCCAGACACTGCATGAGAAGGACCAGGAAACTGCTTCACTCAGGGAACTAGGGCTTAATGAAACAGAAATCTTGATCTGGAAGAGCCATATTTCAGGTGAAAAGGTGAGTGGGGCAATGTTTTTTTTCTTAGAAAATATACGGCAGGATCTCTTCATTTTGGCATTGAGAACCTTTTCATTTTTAGTTCTCACAAACCGGAGCTTTGTGTCTGAATCTTCTTTGGTTTTTAGGATAGGGACATTGGTAAAAGAGAAGCTGTTCCTTGACTTCTTAGCTAACATTTTCTATAAATGTTCATTTCTGGGCCCTGATTGTCTTCTTTCTTGCTTGAGGCATCAGATCATCACTTTCCGGGTATATCCTCTATGATATATGCCATCTCATTTCTCTGATTGTAGAGGACAAAACTGAGGGCAACTCCTGAAGCAATACAGAACCGTCTTCAAGATATTGAAGAAAGGATCTCGGAACGTCAGCGCATCCTTTGCCTGCCCCAGAGATTTGCAAAGAGCAAACAGCTGACTCGACGAGAAATGGAAATAGAAAACTCTTTATTTCAGGGAGCTGATCGTCACTCTTTTCTCAAGGCACTTTATTACCAAGGTATGTAATCCCCACTGACTTTGATATGTTCTTTCACTGAGAGAAAGATTTAACAGCAGAGCATTAAATATGAAGAGTTAGTGAAGGGAGCAGGGGAAAGACAAACTATCACTACTCTTGAGGAATGTACAGTCCCATGAGAGAGACAAATATGTACATAGTTAATTTGCATGACAACATGGAAATTGCTATTATAGAGATTTGAATAAAATGCTGAGGGAGCACAGAACATAGAGCATATAAGTCTAGTTGGGGGAGTCAGAAGTTGACATTGCTGCTAAGTCTTGTTGGATCAACAGGCATTTGTCAGGTAAATAAGCAGGAAAGGGCATTACAGATAGTGAGTGAATAGGAACAGGATTGCGGAAGAGCCTGGTGTGTCTCGGGAACAATGAGAAGTTCAGTGTGGCAGGAATACAGGGCATGGCAGGGAATGACAGGAGATGACACTGGAAAAAGAGGCGATGCTAAATTGTGAAAGGTCTTTAGGCTGAACTATAAACTAGCACAAAATATGTAGATAAATAGTATATGTCTTAACCAGAAAGAATTAGTTTAACAGATAAGTTTTACTAGGCACTGTGGAAGGTTCACAGAAGTTTATGAAATGCTTCCGGAGCTTGTGCCAAGTACAGTCTGGTTGGAGAAAGAAACATAACATTTAGTAACAATGCTAGATATAGTTGCTAAGTGCTGTGGGAGTTCAGAGGAGGGAAAGACCACTGTGCATTGATGTGGTTGAAGAGCGCCTCTCAGAGGAGGTAAGATTTAAATGTTCTTTTAATACCACCTATTCTTTAGAAAAAAGAGGGAGTGGCATTTCAGTTGCAACAGACGGTGTGAACACTATGGAGTGTTTGGGGGAGCTGTGAGAGACAAGGTTAGAAAGGTAGCTAAAATTATGAACTTTATTTGGTGGGTAGTATATACCTATTCAGAGTTACTTATTCAGTCAGTTAGTTAGTTTGAATATAGTTAAAGGTTTTTCAGCCAGGAGTAACATGATAAAAGCTGTATTTGAAAATGATTAATCTGGTGGCCAATAAATCGGATTGGAGAGAGGAAGAACTGCAAGCAGGGAGAATGATTAGGAAGTATTACAGTCATTTAGCCATGAAGATCTAGACTAGAATGATGGCAGTGGAATTGGAAAGAGAGGTACATTTAGTTGTAAGAGATACTACAAAAGGAATAATTGATAAAATTTGTTGACTGAGAATGAAGGAGGAGGGTCATTGAAGAGGAATGTGTCAAAGATAATTGAGGTGTTTCAAGGTTGTGTGACTTAACAATGGGCAAAATTAAGATAGCTTTTATGGGGAAATTTTGAGGAAGGATGATGAGTTTTATTTTAAACATGTTGAATTTGTGAGAATGTCAGGATCATTAAATGCAGATATTGAGGAGACAGTTGGAAGATGCAACAGTGAAACTCAGGAGAGAGGTCAGAACTAGATGGAATTGGGAATCATCTATGCATAGATGATATGTTAAAAATATGAGAATGTTTGAAGGATTTGTTAGAAACAGAAAGACCATAGACATGGCAGAGCAGTGGTGAAGGAAGGAAGGAATGAACAAATGAACAGCCTTCTGTGGAGAGACATTATAGCATACTGATTAAGAACATAGGCTCTGGAAGCAGACTGCCTGGAAAAATCCTGGCTCCCCCACTTACTAGCAATGAGATGCTGGACAAGTTATCTCTCTATGCTTCAGTTTCTTCATCTGTAAAATGAGAATATTAATAGTAGCTATGTTATAGGCTTGTTAGGAGGATTAAGTGAGGTAATACATGTAAATCACTTAGAATAGTACCTGGTATTTGGGGTGGTGGGGTGGGTGGTGTGTGGATCTGTTCTGTTTCCTATCTTTGAAACTCCTTGCTTTAAACCTTCACAGCATACCACAAAAAGACAAGTGCAGACAAGTACATGACCTCAATGAAGAGGAAGATAAAATTAGGCACAAAAGGCAAGTCGAGAGTTTTCTTACAGTGTTAGATTTAGGAATGTAACCTAGGGTCCCAGACTTCTAAGTTGAGCACTTATTTAATTCCAGTATATGACAATGTTTATAGGAAGTGATCCAGAGGGAGCATATTATGCTGATACAGAATATTAAAGAGAGGAGTTAGTAGAAGTTGTAAAGCTTTTACATTTAGTGTTGTTGTTTTTTTCTCTATACCTTTAAGTTATTGTACCAAACATAAATTGACCTTAATGATTTTTAGATCCTATTTCACAAATAATTCTGAATATTTTTATTAATCAGCAAAGTATACTTATTTATGATGATGGCAATGATAATAGCTAATATTTTATTTTTGAAATGAACTTACAATAAAATTGCATGGGGCTTTTTTTTTTTGGTGTACAATTCTGTGAATTGTAAATCATGTAGATTCATGTAACCACCACCGCAATCAAGATAGAGAACAGCTCTATCACCCTAAAACACTCCCTCATACTACTGCTTTATAGTCACTCCCAACCCCCATCCATATTCCCTGGCAATCACTGATCTGTTCTCCATCACAGTAGTTTTATCTTTTAGAGAATGTCATATGAATGGAATCATACAATATGTAACCTATGAGACTGGCTTCTTCCACTCAGCCTAACGCCTTTGAGACTCATCCAAGTTGTTGTGTGTATCACTAGTTCATTCATTTTGCTGAGTAGTGTTTCATTGTATGGACATTCCAAAGTTCGTTTATCCATTCACCCATTGAAGTGCATTTGGGTTGTTTCCAGGTTATGGTGGTTATGAGTAATATTGATATGAACATTCTTGTACATGTTTTTGTGTGAACATAAGTTTTTATTTCTCTAAGGTAAATATCTAGAAGTGAGATTACTGGGTCATATGGTAAGTGTACATTTAACTTTATATGAAACTGCCAAACCATTTTCAAGAGTGGCTGTACCATTTTGCATTCCCACCAGCAATGTATGAGAGTTCTAGTTGCTCTACATCTTTGTCAGCACTTGGTATTGTCGGTATTTATTTTTGGTTATTCTAATAGATGTGAAGTGGTACCTCATTGTAGTTTTAATTTGCATTTCTGTAATGGCTAATGATGTTGAACATCTTTTCATGTGCTTATTTGCCGTCCTTATATCCTGTTTGCTAAAGTGTCTGTTCAAATCTTTTGCTGTTTTATAATTGGGTTGTTTGTTTTTCTCCTGATGACTTTTGAGAGTTCTTTATGTATTCCAAACGCAATCTTCTGTTGGATATGTGATTTACAAATATTTTCTCCCAGTCTGTAGCGTGTCTTTTCATTCTCTTAATCGTGTCTTTTGTAGAGCAAACTTTTTTATCATGGTAAAATATATATAACATAAAATTTACCATTTTAACCCTTATAAGTATATGGTTCTGTGGCATTAAGTACATTCACGTTGTTCTGCAACTGTTGCCACCATCCATCTCCAGAAATTTTTCATCTTCCCAAACTGAAACTCTCTGTCCGTTAATCACTAACTACCCATTTCCCCCTCCCCCGGCCTCCGGCAACCACCATTCTACTTTCTATCTTTATGAATTCGACTGTTCTAGGCCATTCACAGTCTGAGTCTAATAAGTGGAATCATACAATATTTGTCCTTTTGTGACTGGCTTATTTAATTAGCATAATGTCTTTAAGTTTCATCTAGCTTGTAGCATGTGTCAGAATTTTCTTCCTTTTCAAGGCTGAATAACATTCCATTGTATGTATATACCACATTTAGTTTATCTGTGTATCCACTGATGGACACTTAGGTTGCTTCCACATTTTAGCTATTGTGAATAATGCTACTGTGAACATGGGTATGCAAACATCTATTTGAGTACCTGCTTTCAATTCTTTTGGGTATATACCCAGAAGTGGAATTGCTGAATCAGATGGTAATTCTATATTTAATTTTTTGAGGAATGGCCATATCATTTTCCATAGAGACTGTACCATTTTACATTCCCATCAGCAATGCACAAGGATTCCAATTTCTCCACACCCTCAGCAACACTTGTTATTTTCTGTTTTTTTCAATAGTAGCCATCTTAATGGATGTGAAGTACTATCTCACTGTGGGTTTTGATTTGAATTTCCCTAATGATTAGTGCTATTAGTGAGCATTTTTTCATATGTTTTTGGCCATTTGTATATCTTCTTTGGAGAAATGTCTGTTCTGGTCCCTTGCCCATTTTTTAAAGGAGTTACTTGTTTATTTGTTGTTGAGATATAAAAAGTTCTATATATTTTTTTGGATGTGAATTCCTTATCAGATAATATGATTTGCAAATATTTTCTCCCATTCCATGGGTTGCCTTTTCACTCTGTGCATAGCGTCCATTGATGCATGAAGTTTTAAATTTTGATGAAGTCCAATTTGTCTACTTTTTCTTTTGTTGTCTCTACTTTTGGTGTTATATCCAAGAAATCATTGCCAAGTCCAATGCCATGAAGCTTTTTCCCTATGTTATCTTCTGAGAGTTTTATACTTTTAGCTCTTACATTTAGGTTTTTGATCCATTTTGAGTTAATTTTTATATATGATATAAAGCAAAGGTCCAACTTCATTTTTTACAAGCTGATATCCAGTTTTCCCAACACCACTTGTTGAAAAGACTGTCCCTTGTACTCTGAATGATCTTGGCACCCTGTTGAAAAATCATTTGACCATACACGTCTGTCCTTATGCCAGTAACACACTGTTGTAATTGCTATAGCCTTGTAGTAAGTTTTGAAATCAGGAAATGTATTTAATTGGAGTCTGTTAATAAGGATTTACACCTGTCATTTTGCTTTTTGTTTTCTGTATGTCTCGTATCTTTTTTTGTTCCTCTGTTCCTCCCTTTATTCCTTCTTTTATGTTAAATAGATTTTTCTAGTGTGCCACTTAATTGCCCTGAGGATTACAATTAACATCTTAGCTTAAATAAATTAGTTTTTTTAATACCAACTTAATTTCAATTATATTAAAAAACTTTGTTTAGCTCTGTTCTCCCCCTTC